TCATTACTTCCGGCAATTGTTTGACTACGGCTCTTTTTCTCTGGACTTTTAGAGTGCTTTTCAAGGATACATGAGTGTGGCTTCAATTTTTGGAAACAAATCCAAGTTTCAAGAAACGATAATCATGTCTTCTATGAATGATCCAGAGCAGTGTTGTCTCATTCCTACAATTGAGAGGGAGGTCGAAGGGTTAGTTTCTGACGAATCAACATGGGTAGAGGGTGGTGGTGGTAGTAGTGAGACGGAACGGGCGACGAGAAGACGGTGAGAGGTGACGGGCTGAGCAAGGGAGAAGATAGATCAACGGTCCGCCGCCCCCTTGAACTGCCGCCTTGGAGCGATTGAGGTGCTAGGGTTTGGAAAAATTATCAGTTACTTAATTTTTATGATTTTATTTTCGCGTTTTGTTTTATGTTGCTCTATTTTTGTTGATGTCTTTAGTTTTAGGTCTACATTAACAATTCTGCTAGATATTATGTCATTAGAAGGATCTATATGGTCAACGATTGCTGTGTCACACCCGTTTGGTGATTAGCGATTCGTAATTTCGTATTGCTCTTTCAGGGGTGATCGATTCTGAGTTTAACCATAAGGTTGATATTGCTAGTTAGTTATGGATAGTTATTGTCAGGGTTGATCATTTTGATTTTGTTGTAACGATCCGATTACTAATAATTTTTATATGATAAAAAACAACAAAGTCATTTCTAAAAAAGGTAAAAAAAAAAAAAAATCTAAAATCTTTATATTTTTCCGTATTAGGACCTCCTCTGGTGACACGTGAGTGACTGACATTTAATTCTCAACCGTACCTGAAACTCTGAGCATCAAACACGTACTCTTCTCTCTCGAAACACCACTACTTATTACTCACTAGTCAGTACTGATAGAAAGAACTGAAAACGCACAAAACGGTTCCGGCGGCGGAGCACGGCGGCGGAGCACGGCGGCGGCGGGCATGGATTCAAGAGAGCATCATCGGCATCACTTCGCCATGTTTCCATGGCTGGCGTACGGCCACATGTTCCCTTTCCTCCAACTTGCCAACGAGCTCGCCAAAAGAGGCCACTCTGTCTCCTTCTTACTCCCTCAAACCGCTGGCCGCAAACTATCCCACGCCAATCTTCACCCTCACCTCATCACCTTCCATTCTCTTTCAGTCCCTCACGTTGAAGGTTAATTAAATTCATAAATTAATGGAGCATTACCCGTTCAATTACATGTTTTTACTTTGAATTAAAATTTACTGGTATGGTGAATGTACTTTAAAATTGTCCAACTCTGGTCTGGTCTGAAACCGAAATCAGTGAGGAAACATCCTTATAGATATTGCAAAATCGTTTTTCATTTTATTTCTTATTTTGGTAGTTGATATAGATTTCATATTCGATATTTCTGTGATTTTCTTTAGCTTATGCTCATTTTGCAACTTGCACATTAGTGACATTACATCAAGGAAATTTATCTAAATTTACCAAAATAGGAGTAAAAGCAAGATGTTTTCCTTCCGCTGTAAGAAAAAATTTGCCAAAATAAGGGGAAAACAAGATGACTTTACTAAATACGAGTACAATGTAGTCATCAATGATGATGACTCATCATCTCACACTAATTTGACAATATTAATGTGCAGTATTTTCAAGACGAGGGTATTACCTCATATTTAAGTGGAAAATTATAACCCCCAATTTTTTTAGCAAAATTATAACCCCTACTTAGTTAAATCATTATGTTTTACTTCTATTAAGTGCAATTTCTTTCAATATTGAGTATACCAAATGTTTGGTTTGTATTCGATAACAACTCGTCTTGTATTAGATCGAGAAATGCTCATTTCATCATTGTATGAGATGGGTAAAGAGTACACTATATTGCATGTGATATTTCTTAGTACACAAACTCGGTTTTTTGGTGTTAATTGAGTACATCTGTTAGATTAACACGTTAATACGTCTGAGTTGGGTAACAGTGCTAATAGGTCGACTTCTTGAAGGTCGACGCTATAACTGTGGTTGATTACCTCCTTCTTACTCAACATTCCTTAAGCCAACTCGACCGTACTAACATGTTAATCTAACGAGTGTACTCAATTAACACTAAAAAACAAGGTCGTGTACTTACAAACGTCAAATGAAACATGGTGTAATCTTTACTCCACCTCATACAAGTTGACATAATGAACTTACCATTTCCTCTAATTATACATATTGGGAGTCTTCCCTTTTTTTCTCTTTTATAATTGCCTCAAAATTTTGTTTCCAAATCAAATGCCCCTCAGAATATCAATTACGGGGTACTTGTTACAGAGTGCTATATATTCCAACTTGAATGCAACAGCAAGGCCCGCATTGAAACAATAAGGGACTTAACTTAGATGTTTATCTAATTCAATAACTATGAGCTAATGAGCCTACTTTTAAGAACGTGTCAAAAACAAATCCATGTAAGCTTGGCCTAAAACTTATAACATCACACTAATGTGCTTTTTTAGGAGACACCACTAGCTGTGTAGTTGGAAATATAGAGAATCGTCTTCAAGATGAGCTTCCATTTAATTTCACTACTACTTGATCTTTTGAAGGAGTAAATGAAAATGTAAATTCGTAATTGCCAAAAATGGAAATAGAGCAGGCATTAAAAGGAATGTGAAGCATTTAAAAATGGAGGGAGCGCCAATTTAGAATTTGAATAGTTATCATTGCATCCCCTTCCCAGATATGTGAATTTCAGAGCAAAACATATCATAATTCATATCAAATGTTATTCGTTGTAGGTCTCCCTCTCGGGGCTGAGACCACATCTGACACGAATGACGCAATAGCGCTGTCTTTAGCCATGGATGGAATGCAGGAGCAGGTGAAGGCGGTGCTCATGGCGGAGAAGCCTTATTTCGTATTCTTTGATTTTGCCGATTGGATCCCAAATTTAGCTTCAGAGATAGGCTGCAAGACAGTGTATTTCAGTGTCATAAGCCCTGCGTTATCTGCAATCGCTCTGCTAATATCCACGAGCAAAGAGAAGCCTTTAACGACGTCTGATCTTATGGAATCTCTTCCAAGTTACCCTTCTTCCGCAGCGCCTGTCCTTCGTGAAGACCAAGCACGCGCAGTGACACTGTTAGCTAATCAACCAAATAACAAGATGAGAGAGTTCTTGGGTAAGAGCGTATCCGGAGCCAAACAGAGTGATGCATTGGCAGTGAGAACCTGTAATGAAATAGAAGGCATCCATTGCAGCAACCTATCAATGCTTTATGGGAAACCAGTGTTTTGCACAGGCCCTCTCTTCCCCGAGCCCAGAAAAGAGATGTTAGATGACAAAATTTCAATCTTTCTCAACAAATTTGATTTTGCTTCTGTGGTTTTCTGCTCATTTGGAAGTGAACTAGTTCTTGAAATTAACCATTTCCAAGAACTTGTCCTGGGCCTGGAGCTCACAGGGCTGCCCTTTCTTCTGGCTGGCATTAAACCACCAAAAGGGACATCTTCCATTCAAGAAGCCTTACCAGAGGGATTCCAGGAAAGGGTAAAAGAAAAAGCAATGCTATATGAAGGGTGGGTCCCCCAAACTCAGATTCTAATGCACAGATCAATTGGGTGCTTCGTGAGCCATGGTGGGTCTGCATCAATGTGGGAATCTTTGTTGAGTGACTGCAGAATAGTGTTTTTGCCAACTAGGGGAGACTATGCTGTGAATGCCAGGCTCATGGCTGTAGAGCTTCAGCTTGCAGTGGAGGTAGAAATGGGTGAAAATGGTTGGTTTTCAAAGGAGAGCATTAGCAGAGGTGTTAAGACAGCCATGGATGAAGGTAGCAAGCTGGGTGGTCTGCTGAAGAAGAACCACAAGAAGTGGAGGGATGTGTTTTTGAGCAATGGATTTGTTGACAGTTACATTGACAAATTCATTCAGAATTTGGAGGAGCTTTTGTGGCAAATAAAATGAATCACCCTGAAGTCATTATAATCTATCTACTGTGTTTCCAGTGTTTGCAACTATCTCTTTCACTTTCATTCATCATCAAGGATCTCATATATACTTGATCAAGCATGTTTGGGCTTGGAGCTCTGAGATTTTTCCGGAGCATTTTTCTATGATCAAGCACCATTGCTAACACATTTACGTGATTGCTTCTACTTTTGAGAAGTTATTTATTTTAGACGTTATATGAAAATGATTAGTAGTAAAAGTTAATAGTGTTTGAAAAGAAAGGTGATTTTAATAAAGTAAATTTGAGATTGTTTGGTGGAAAAATAATTTTGAATCCTTCGGCCCTGCCATGAAATAATGCCCTAGAGTTAACTAGTTAAGTATTAAGTATAATACAATAGTCAAAGTTGGACGAACAGTAAATTTAGAATGACTTGATGATGAGGTTAGTATAGAACGAAGTATATTACAACCATGAATTTGAGTATAATATAGTCAAACCATTTTGAATTTGAGTATAATATAGTCAAACTGTCCTTAAATTTCACACTTCATGAAATTTTTTAAGTAGGCTGACTTGTTGACTAAGGCCATCTCCAACAATCACCAAAACCTCCACCAAAATAGGGGAATTGTCATTTTTTTGCTCCAACAGTTACACCAAATCCTACGCTATTTCACTAATATGATGGAGGGTTTAATTTTTTACGCCATATTTGGCGCAGGCCGTGCAGCAATGGGATGCGCCATCTTCCCCCTTCTATTATTTTTCGTTTTGCAAAAGTGACCCAATCAAAGATGTGATGCACCATATTTTTGCAGAGATGGGATGCGCCAGGTGGTTTCTTTATTAGCAGTTTACTAATGATGTAGGAATTATTATAATATTAATGTAATATTTAATTTTATATGGTTTTGGGTTGTATATTTGTGAAATATTGATTATTGTATTTTAATGAGTGAAATGTGTGAAACATGCGAGAAATATTGATTATAGTACGGAGTAGTATTTTAGCTTGTATTTGTGAAATAATGAGTGAAATGCCAAAGTACATATTAAATGAGGGGATATGTATAAATATATGATAATTAGATAATTAAATACAGTATTATAATGGTAAATAGTTAGTAAAAGGAATAAAAAAAGAATATTCCTTTTTAGTATGATGTGGAGGTAAAGTACATCATAAAGTACTGTATGATGTGATGTTTACACCATTTTAGTGCAAAAAATGATGTAAACTGTTGGAGATGGCCTAAGTAGGCATTTCCAGATTAAGTATTCCATATAGTCAACAATCATCAATTATATAGGAAAAATGGGTTTACAGTACGACTAATAAAAGATTTAATATCGATTGACCCAAAGCTTGATGTTTGCCATATTTCCATGGCTTCCTGGCTAATGAGCGAGCCAAAAGAGACCATAAAGTTTCTTTATCCGCTATTCACTGTGTCCAACATGATAATATTGTTTCTAGGGGGATACAATTTTCTCCATACTGTAGGCTTTCTACCTGCCTTGTGGTATTGACCATGATGAGGGAATTCCCGTTCTGAATCATTTACAATGTATGAATACGCAAAGCATTACAACTGCTACTATAAGCTAACAAAATATCAAAAAAAAAATCGTACATTCAAAATGTCCTTTCCAAGCAGAAAATTCCTCACTTGTTTAGAAATAGGATAATGAAATAGAAGTGCAAATATAAAGAAAACCTCCCTTTGGAAGATTTTTTGGCTCAAAAAGGTATTGTGAAGCCATATGTTTGATCAGAAATCTGAAGTTTGTATTGGATCTATACTGATAGTTCCAAACAAGCAAATCAAGCAATATACAAGTGTATAATCACAGCTGATAAATGTCCAAAAATCAAGTACAATCAAGCAAAAAGTCTTTTGTAGAACCAGTGGGACTAGAGAGAAGGTCGAAATGCTTGCCAAGTGTGTCTTTTAAGATAGTGATCTGACCTTCTTTGAGGAGTATGTCTTCATCCAGTGTTTCCATCTTCTTCTTTAACGCATTCATCTCGGAATTCATCAGCATACTCTTCTCATTGTGATGTTTAACCTCCTCCCACATTAAGTCTCTCTCTTGAGTTACTTTTGGTAGTATCCCCTTCAAAACTGCTAATTCCTTCATGCATTCTTGGAGATCATTCTGAAGCTGATTCATGTTTTCGTCTTTCTTGATCATCTATTCAAGAAAAAACACGACAACACTTTCAGGAAAGAGCATAATCAGTCAAAGATTCATTTAAAATAAAACATTTGATTGGCCTCAAAATCCTCACTGATAAATCTATACATGAAATAATGTACAGTTTTCCAGTGTTCTCTGACTAATATGACTTTTGATGGAGCATGGAGATGAACTTTATTCTACCAGATTGTGTGCCAGCATTTTTTGGATCCCAAAAAGTGCTACCGCAGGAAAATAATATGAAAGTCTGTTTGGAACTTGAAAAAAAAAAGTAGGGAATGAGAATAGGGAGGAAGATGTAGAGATATTTGGAAGGAATCTAAACATATGTAAACATATTGTTCAAATTCATTTTAATTATTTATTCCTATTATATAGCTAAGAAATCTAAACATATGTAAATAAAAATAAAAACAATAATCATATTTAATTCTCCTTTGTATCTAGCAGGGTGAAACTAAATTTAAAAAATAGCATTCCTCAGCATTTTATTTCCTATTGCTAGCATTTTCCGGGATGGCAGGATCCAAACATAGTTTATGGAATGTAGCTTTTATGTAATTGGTTTTAACTAGGAAAGAGCAAATGAAAGTGAAGTATGCTTCATATTTTTTAATTATTACGTATGTTTAGTTTTTTTTGTCTTTATATAACAATAAAAATAGTTAAAGACAATGAGTGTGAACAAATATAAAAAAAATAGTGTTTGAACTATTATTTTATTTTCCATCCCTGTTTTCTTTTTCTAGCATTTTCCGACCAAACATACCATATAAGAATCAAGAAACATAAAAATTCTTATTACGACGGTAAATGCCAAGAATACAAAATTTTACATTATGTTAAGGTGAACTGAGACTTGTGCGTTAGAAAAGCTGCACATAAGCTCTCAGCCTCTCATAAGAAACAAAGATATTTGTTGCCTCACCTCAAGTTCAAGGTCTTTCATCTTGTGGGTAACACAAGAAAGGCCATCTCGTGTGTTTTGCAATTCACATTTTAGCATGTCATTAACCCTGACAGAAGCTGCCAGTTCAGCTTGAAGTTGCTCTATATCCAATTCTTTAGTATAAAGCTTTTCCCGCAACAAACTTGTAAGTAAAGTCTCTGCTTTTAGCTCAGACTGCATGATATCCTACAAATATTAACCAAAAAATATAGCAAACTTGTAAGATAAAGGCATTCATATTTCGTTGAGAAAGAAGAACCACAACCAACTTACTTCCGGGTTCTGATCATTTGATTGGTGTATTTTACTCTCTAAACTAGGCAACTGTGATTCAGACTTATCATGATACACATCCATTACATTCTGTAAGCTTCTCGCTAAATTCTCAACCCCTCTTCGAAAACCAAGGATCCTAACATCAGATTCAACAATAAACTGACCATCCAATCCTCCATCTAAACAACCATGCCCATCCTTCAACATGTCCCCTGCATTAGCTTTGATGCAATCTAACAGCTTTCCACAAAGATGGGTGCTCTCTTTAAGTAAAGACAATCCTTGTGTTTCCAAGCAGCATACATGGCTTTGCAATTCTTGATCTAGCTTAAAAGTTGAGAATCCTGCCTCTAACCCGCCTCCTTTTAAGCGTTCCAATAAACGTATGTTTTCAAGCCGAAGTGAATCAACTTCAATCCTGTAAGACTCAACTTCCTTCCTTAGACCACATTCCACTCCTACCAACCTCAAATGTTCCCTTCTCAACTTTGTCAATTCACTATCAAACTCCCCAGTTGTGTTTTTCTTGCAAACTTCCTCGTAGAATGCTCGAAGTCCATCAATTGTCCGCTCTTGTTCACTGCAAGTCCTTTGTAGTCTAGCAATAGATCTATGTAAATCTTTGCACTCTTTCACCTTGTCCTCGTAGTTCCTTCGGATGCAATCATGCTCCTGGTGTGCTATCTTGTACTTCTCTTTGAGTTCATGAACATTTTGCTCTAAAATCATATTCTCGTCTCTTTTCTCCTCAACCCTCAGTGTAAGATCATCAAGTTGTTTTTCTGAATATGAAATCCTATTCCTGTTCCCCTCCTCCTTCTCACTAAGGGAAGACACTTCCCTTTGAAGAGAAACGTTTTGCTCAGCAAGATCCCTGATTCTTTCACGAAGCCGATGTTCTTCCATCTGGTACCTTTCAAGTTTCATGGACCACTCACTTGATCTTCTGTCTAACTCCTTTTCTAGTGAGGACTGCAAGTCATTCTTCTCCATCTCCAATCTTCGAGTTTGTGAATCTAGTTTATCTCGTAACGATCTGATTTCTTCTTTAGCAGAAGCTCTCTCAGAAATTTGATCTTTCAATGCAACGGAAACCTCAATGGCCATTTTTAACTTTTCTTCAGTCAGATCTCTAATTCTCTGGATCAATCCAGGGACACTAAGTTCACTGCAATGAAACAAGTTCAAATCTTCAAGATCTTCAGAGATCATGGTTGTCTGTGCATCAGCTTCTTTTAATTTTTTATACAGTTCAAACTCTGAATCCTCCACAGCATTATGATTCCCTTTAGTGCTGCAATTAGCACTTGAGAAAAAGTTCCTTTCTTGTGAACTTGGAACCGATTCGCCATTTATTGAGAAATGATTCTGAGAGGCAACATCAGAATATGTGTTAGGATGTCTGCTTACATTCCCTGTATATATATCTTCTATTGTTATTGGAGCATGAAGATCATATTCTTTTGAATTCTTCTCAGAAAGCAATTGAGAATTAGAAAGCCTCTCAACAACTCTTCTAGCAAGTTTTCTAGGAGAGTCATGTCCAAAACCAGTTTCCATCAACTCCCAAGAAGATAGATATAAATGACTTGATGCGGTCTCCCTGAAAGACTGAGATTTAGGCTTCTGTTTCTTAATATTGGGTGGTGAAGCAGGTGGAATATGATGGACTCTTGGAGGCAAATCGTGGGTTGGTCCACTCTTTTCATACTCTTGCTCCCCATCAATGTAACGATCTAAAACTTTGCTCGAGCTGTGGGAAGAGCTCTCAGAAATGTCATTGGGTGGTATGAAGGAAGAACTGCAATCATTCCTCACTCTGTGAGAAGTTTCAACACCATTTGTGGGCTTCGTGTGGAGTTGCCTCTCAGGAAAACGTGCCCTGTCTCTATAACAGAGTAAAACAAAACGAAAACATATATAAGTTATGAATTTCAATCTTCTATCACACTTTCATGTTTTAATAGTGTCACTCACTACCTGATTTTTAGGAATAATATTAATTGATTTTATATTTTTTTAATAGTATGACAGAGAAAATTTTATGCATACCGAGCTGGACGACGGCCTGATTTCCTATGTTGGAAATGGTTAACACGACATGGGGATCCACTTTCATCCTGAAAGTTCCATCCTGGCAAATCATCATTGTTAACCGATGCAGATGAAAATGATAGACTCCTCCTAAGAGTTGGGGTGGCACCAATACTCTGATGATGTTCTGAACTTTGCTTTCTACTTCGAGACTTCTCAAAAGTGTCTGCTGGTTTTTCCCAATTGCACTGTTTGTCCTTTGATGGTGGGGAAATGTTGTTTCCGCCACTAGAAGCACTTGATCTAAAAAAGAATAGTTTCTTCATCTTTGTATCATTGGCAAACTAAACCTGCATCACAAGATCTTCGCTAAGATACACATTTGAAATATAATAGAAAATATGTAGTATCATTGATTAATGGGATCAACTGTATTATTGATTTCACATATACGAACTGTGTGTTATATTCTGTATTTAACCAGTGTGAAGCATGAAGCTAGTATATTGACATTAATTGCTACTGAAACACTTGTAATTTAAACAGAAAAATACTAATGATGAGGATTGACAGTGCAGTCTTTCATGCCAACTTCAACAAACACTAGGGACTCAATGTGATTAGAAACATGGGAATCACTAGCATGCCATGAAAAGATTTTAAACCTTCAACGGATAAGACAAATTTGATCAGAGAGAAGGAAATTAGTACTTATTACCACTTCCTGCCAGGAAATCAGGAAGTTGTAGGTCTGGAATTAAGTTGCCTACACACCCTTCGGTTTTACCATCCCATCCCATCCCTATAAACCACGGTTTTGGTTTCCAAAACAATACTAATAACAAACCGAAATGAAACTAGATCCTGAAAAGATTAAAATGTAAAAAGGCACATGAGAGATCTATAAAAGCATTTCAGCAATCCATCATTACATTTTAGCACAAATCATGGCAGACCTTCCAAAAAAAGAACCAAATCTTAGTGCAGAACTAAAAGCCTCTAATGTCATTTTCTTGGATCAGAAGAAGCAAAAGGCTTCTGTCCTCAGCAGGAGGCAGGTCAGGCCTAATTCCATTCCCTAACTTTCAACACTTCCAGCCAAAGTCTATTCATTCAGCAACCAAAAAAATTAAAAATTACGGAGTATAAACTAACCCAGATTCATACCTTCTAGAATTAATCGTTCCAGCAAATCAAATCCAATCCAGCTAGAGGTCACTCGAGAAAAAAAAGAATAAAAAGGAAATGAGAACTGTTTCCTACTATGTAATTTATCATTACTCGGTAAACTATGGGGTGACCGTTGGGGAAGAGGATATAGCCAAAAAAACGAGTCCAAATAAGAAGAATTAAGAGCATTTAAAATATTTCCAAAATAAAACAAATCCATCTCGTAATTATCTAGATTTCGGACAACCAATTAAAGATACGCGTGCAAAATGTGAACGGGAAATTCAAATTTCAAACAAATAAATATCTGAATAAGTTACGGGAAGATTTCATAATTACAATTATCACATCAAGGGATTATTATATCTATGACTCGGTATTAAATACTCCGTATAATTTTACTATTATACTCAAGAAACCACCCATTTACATGGAAAACTTCACCTAGTTTCATCAACTCATTTGAATCACTGCTTCTCACATTAACTGGGAAAATGTATTCATTTGCACATGGAGAGAGAGATATAGAGAGGAGAGAAATTACTCTGAAATTCCTGAAACTCCTCAGTTCAGAGTAAATGAATGTAACTGAGCGTGTGTGGCAGACTATCAGAATACTCCTCAGTTCGAGTGATAACTGATTCGAAGAAGAAAAGTTTCGGGAGAGAGAAAGCTGAAGAACAGGGGAGAGAAAGAGTTTTTTTATTTTATTATTATTCAAAAAAAAAAATGTGCCGCGGAGAAGGCGTAGTTCGTAACCTGTTGGAGTGGGGTAATGGTGCCGGTGGGGGCACTGGAGCGCACTTATAAGTTTATTTTTTTCAGTAGGGAAAGTCCGCAACCCATTTTTATGAATAAATAAATTTAACTTTTAATCCTATGACTTTAGGTCAATTTCACATTTAGTCTATATGTCCACTTTTGGTACATGACTATTGTGTTTTCGCTCATATATGGTCCTTTCGGCATTGTTCCGATGGTTAAAATCACCGGGAAAGGACCACAAACGGTTAAAAAACATTAGTCAAGTATCAAAAGTGGATAAAAGGGGTGTTTGGATCTGATTCTTAAAACAGATTCTGCTTCTTGAAAGAACAGAATCAGAAGCTTGAGTGTTTGGTTGAAAGTACAGAAGTGATTTTGGTGCTCTAATTTACTCCTAGAATCAGTTTTTTTTAGAATCTGGGGGTGACCAGCTTCTGAAAACTGATTCTGATTCTGCTTCTTCTATAAAAGAGAAGCAGAATCAGAATCAATTCCAAACACCTCCAAAGTGAAAGATGTGAACTAAAGGTGGAATTGGCACAAAACTCGTATGACCAAAAGTGGAATTAATTCCTTTTTATTTATTAAAAGGAGAAAGGTGTAAATATACCTCAATATATATTTGATCCTCTCGAACATTTAAAATGTTTTTATTTAGACTGTTTTTAATTTTAGACGAGATCAGACTTAAATGGACCAGACCTGAATTTCATGGTTATAGAATACACGAGTTCAGACTAGACCAGTTCAAACCAGTTCAGACCAGGTCAACAAATTCCAATCCAAGTAACAAGAAAAGTTTTGTGAAAAAACTTATTTCAATACTTTTTGGGCTGTGTAGCAATTTTTATTAGAGCTCCTCCTCTAGAATCATCTTCGTATCAGGGAAAATTTTGTGAAAAGACTTTATTTCAATTTTATTTTTCCTTTAATAGTAATTTTATTTTACTTCAAGTAGGTTTGGTTTGGATATTTAGATTGATGTAGTACTTTTGATAGACATTGGGGTGTTTGGCAATTAGCTGTTAGCTGTTGGCTGAATGTGTTGGTTGATTGATGATAGCAGTTTCAGTTGGATGTTTCATTAGCTGATAGGATTACTAGTTTGTCAAAATATGTTTGGTTAAATGATTCTTTACGATCAACTAATAATTTGTTAATCGGACATAGCCACACGGCTCGGACTATATGAATTAATAATTTAATACTCCCTCCATCCCATTTATTTTGTCCCGTTTTACCTTTTCGGGAAGTCCCACTGATATTGTCTCATACCATATTTGGCAAAGTTTGTGTGGCTCTAAATCATTCTTACTTTATTCTTACTTTATCAATTAATATCAACCACACAAACCCACTTTTCTTAATAACCGTGTCACCCTCTTCCGGGACAATATAAATGGGACGGAGGGAGTATACATTTTCATATATAAGCGTGCGAGTTCCCGGCAACATAGAACTAAGTTCGGCTCGATTGCTTAAAGAGCCAATTCGTGTTTGAATTTGACTAATCTCAAATTGAGTTTTGACCTAATTCGTATATATAACTTGAACTGACTTTAAAAGCATGCCAATGTGTATAGATATTTTCACCTATATTTGTATTAGTGTCACTATAATACAAGATCATAAACACACTGGACTAGATCTTATAGAATTGAACTAGACGAAAATAGAGTAGACTCGATCAGAATAGATCTAAATAGACCAAACCATTTAGACTATGTAAATACATACTCCCTCCATCCTACAATTAAGTTCTCAGTTGCACTTCTTTGGGTCAAACTTTACAAACTTTTGATCGTTAATTATTCATAATTTACATTACTTTATCACACAAAATTGGTTTTATATACTTCATTGGAATATATATATATATATATATATATATATATATATATATATATATATATATATATATATATTATTCAAATATTAATTTCTATTAGATTTTTAGATATTAGGGTCAAACGTCTATCTAGAAGACCGTAAAAGTCAAATTGAGAACTTAATTGATAGAGGGACAAGACTTTAATTGGTCTGACTCAGGTTAGATAAAACCAGACCTACATATTTAAATGTAAGTGAAAATGTCCTTAAAATTCAACACAATGTCTGAAAAGATTTATGCTAACATTGTGCATTGTGCATAACTAAAATTTAATGGTGGTGTCAAATACTACTCCCTCCGTCCCTAATAAAACTTCCAAATAGATTTGGCACACAGTTTAAGATAGTGGGTATTGTGTGGTGGAGAGTTGTGTAGAGGAGAGAGAGAAATGTGTAAGAATTGTTGTGAACCACAAATTCTGGCCAAAAAGGGAAAGTGGAAGTTTTAATTGGGACGGACAAAAAAAGAAAAGTTGGAAATTTATTTAGGGACGGAGGGAGTATTATTTATTTAATATTCATTTATATAACGACATTGAATAAATGAATGCATCTACTGACATGATATGGTTTTATCCTTGTCGAAGAAATATCCCGAGTCTCATTCATTATCTAGACCCATTAAGCCATTATCTCTAAGTTGCATCTTGTCTATGAACTGAGGTCATCTATATTGCTCAAAATCATAATGAGAATAGGTTCAATAATGAGTTTGGTCCAAAATAGGACGCTTGTAGGCTTTTTGGAAAGCTACGTAAGAACACTCAAGCAGGAATTAGAAAGTACGAATATGGAAAGTGCTCGAGAGGTTTTAGTTGCCAAGAATAGCCTGTAGAAATCGCTTCCCCTAATCTGAAATACAACTCGCCTTTTATAGGCGTATACAAATCGTAATCGCTATCGATAATAATGATAATTAATTACAACATTAATACGAAATTAAATACATAATTAACTAAGCATTAAATATTGCTTGACCATTACTTTTCCTAGCTGACAGGTCGGCCGGACTGGCAGGCTCCCCCACTGAGCTGATAGGCAGGCTCCAGGCTATGGACTTGGATCCACGGGTCCAAGTTCGGGGCTTGGGCCGATTAGGCTCTGGGCCTAGTCCCATAACTCCAATGAGAATTATGGCGACATTTTCATGATTAAATTAAGTCAACTTTTTCTTTTCAAAAAAAAAAATAAGACAACTTTTTTACACAAAAATGAGTTTCATATATTGTACTATAAGATTATTACAGTGCCAATAAGATAAAAACGTGTCAATAAGATTGGAATAATCAAAAACTATCTATGTAAGACCTGAAATATCATATATTTTAATTGAGATTTATCAATTCATGATGACATGATACATAAACAAGCTATCAATTCAGGACTACAATGATGAAATATATCGACATAAAGCTCGAATGATTGAAAAGTATCAATCTATGACCTAAGTTATCATTAATTTTATTATTTTTTATTTTAAAACTTTACAATATTATTTAATTTATAAAATTAATAAACTTTTGTGAAGAAAATCCATCAAATATTAGCAATGAAACTAACAAAATTAAATAAATCAAAACCTACAGAATTATAAGCCTAAAATGGATAGTTTTCAATCATTTAAGGTCTATACCAACACATTTCATCTTTCAACTCCCGAAATTATAATTCATCTATCTTTCCATCTTAGTATTTGATTTGATCTTTTTTTAAATATTATTTAATTCTATTAATTTAATTGTTAATTTTTGATTATTTTTCCTTCACAAAAGATTATTAGATAAATAAAATCAAAGTTCAACTGTCTTTTAAAGTACAATTAAAATTCATGAAATATTAAGTTTTAGATTGATAGCTTAACAATTTAAGTTTGAAAATGATTATGAACACTTGTCCATCCTTTGATGAGTTGCCAGACCGTACTCATTGGACCCGAACCACGTCTGGTGTCTTCACTTTTAGGTCGGCCTATGATGAGATTAGAAAGAAACAGCCCAAAATTAATAATCTTGAGTTGTTATGGAAGAAACCTATCCCTGCAAAGATTTCTTTCTTCCTTTGGCGGATTATTAACAATCTAATTGTGTGTGCTGACTCCCTCCAGAGAATGGGCTTTCATGGCCCTTTTAAGGGAGTGTTTGCAATCACTTTAAAAAAAGCACTTCTCAGCTTTTGGCTTAAAAAAGCACTTATTTACCAAACACTACTAATTTTAACTTTTTCTCGGCTTGCGTGTGAAAAGTGCTTTTCCCCTTTCTATTACACAAAAAGCACTTATTTTACCAAACACTATCAACTTTTATTTTTCAAAATCACTTTTTTCTCAAACACTATCAACTTTTCCTACTAATCACTTTTTCCTTACATCTCCAAAAGTGCTTTTATTTAAGCTGAAGCAGTTGCAAACACTCCCTAAATGTCCTCATTGCAACCACAATGACTCTATCGAACATTTCTTCTTGCGTTGCAAGTCCCACGCTCCTATTTGGAGCTACTTTCAGGTCCAGATTCATCGTTTGGAAGGCAACCTTAAGGATACCATTCTTAATTGGACAGACCACAAATCTTTTATTACTTACACTGTCATTCTTTGGAGTCTCTAGGAGTTGAGAAATAACACCCTTTATGATGATATTTACCCAAACTATTCTGAGGCCATTTACAATATCAGACGGGAAATTAGTTCCCTCAATGATATTAAGAGACCTATAAAGACCCTTAGAAGCAGACTGAAAGTGGTTTCGTGGAATCCCCCTCGGGCCAACCATAGAACCCTTAACATCGCTCATACCCAAAGCGGTCTCTCCCACAACTTTGGTTTTTTGGTGCGCAACCATAAGGGCCAAATGACCTCCCATCACACCCGTAGCATTCTGTCCAACTCCAAAGTGAAAGCTTCTATTGAGGCCTACTATGACTATCTCATTTTTTGTAGGGACCGAGGAATCATCTACAACGAGATTCAAATTGATAATCCACAAGTTTTTGAAGCCATAAATCTGAAGTGCGTCAATTATTGGGATCAAATCTTCACCATCTCTTGCATTCGTAGGATTTTGCATCAAAAGCACATCTTTGTTACACTTGTCCACGAAAAGGTCAACTGCGCAGCCA